ATTGTTTTAATATTGATGATTTTTATGATATTCATGGAATTCGTAGGCCAAATACAACAACACTTAGTTCTGTAAATCATATGGCAACATGTGTAGCAAAACTAATTATTAATACACCTGCAGCTTTAGCAATTGCAAATAATAATCGTCCATTTTTTAATCCAGATAATTTTAGTAAATTACTTATTATAGATTATTTATATTCTAATAACGGTACTTTTGATATAAGTTATAATTTACAAAAATTTAATTGGATAAAGAATCAAATTCATTTTGAAGATCAAAACCAAATTGAATTACTTACAATACATATATATGATGATGCTATAAATGAACGAAAAGAAAAAAGATCAATGAAAAATCTTAAAATAATTGGTGTACAAAAACAAAATTTACATTCAACAAAGGATTATTTAAATGCTTTAGAAATGATTATTTCAATAGAATCATTACAACAATATCTTCAAAAGAATGTTTTACCAGTAATTGCAGATTGGCATGGACAATATTTTATTCGAAAAATTTTAACACATTATTACAAAAAAGTTAATACACCAGACTTCAAATCTATTATAATTCCTGAAAATATTAGTAATTTTATTCTAATTATTAGCCCTCTTCATGTTTCATTAAATTTTTGTGAACAAGTTATTCTTGTTCATTATTCATTTTTTAAAAAGTTTTTTCATTATTTATTTGGTGATAAAAAAATATTTGCAAAAAAACCTAAGCCTTGGAGAATTAATTTATTACTTGAATTAATTCATAATGGTTAAAAAAAAATATCACAAAAAATTTTATTAAAATTTGGTGATAATTGTAAAGATATGGAATATAGGATGATATTAGATCTTTTAGATAATTTAGTACCTGCAACTTTAGATATATATGCAATTCTTTTTAGATCTGGGCATTTTAATCAATATTTTGATACTTTATTTCAATTATGGACATTTGCATTATGATAGAAAAGAAAAATTATAATAAGGCACCATTAGCTTTTATATCAGACTATCTTTATTGACAACAAATTAATCATCCTTTAGCAAATATTATATCACAATCTTTAGTTAATTTTAATGATTATTTTGTTGAAAATTTTCATAGCCAATTATGAGCAAATATTAATATTAGCTATAATGCAAATAATATTATTGAACAATCTTATTTATTAGATATACATAATAACCAGTTATTTAATACTTTTCGTACCAAAAAAGTATATCCATATAAGCAAAATCAATTAGTTTATTTAACAAAAAAAAGTAGTTTATTTTTATTACAACATTTTCAAAAAATTTTTCAAAATATTAGAGAAAGTAGAATAATTCCACATAAAGATAAAAATAAGACTAAATTTTTTATAGCAATATTAGATGAAATTCTTGAATTTAAATGTTTACCAGCTGGTTATCATACAGCTCATTTACCATCACCAAATAATTGTGATCATTGTGAAATTCCAATTAAATTTTCAACTGGTAAAGTATATATTTGTAGATATTTTTATCATGATGAATGTTATAATAGATTTAATGCTTGTAAGCATTATTTAGAATATTATAAAAAAGGAATTAATAACCAAATTAAATTATTTAAAAAAGAATTAGAAAAAAAAGATGAAGAAGAAGATATTTTTAATAATGAAGATATAAATGAAGATGATGATAACAATTTAGATAAAGAAAATAATAATGAAATAGTTGAAAATTTAAATAATGAACTCCAAATAGCTATTGATTTTATTGATCAATGGATATAATTAAATATAAATTATTATTTATTTATATTTTTTTAATTTTTATTTTAATAAATTTATTTTAAAATTTTAAAATAGAAATACAATTTTTTGAATCTTTATTTTAAATAACTAAATAATTAAATAACTAAAACTACTTAGATAAGTATTATGAATAATACTTACATAGATACTAATTAATTAATATATATATATATATTATTTTAAAATAAATATAGATTTTTAAATTTAATATTTAACTTTTTATAAATATGTATCTATTATATAATATATGTAGTGTTATTTTGAAAATTCTAATTGCATATCATAGAATAACATCACTCTGATTGGCTAAAATACATAGAATATCAAATAATATAAATATATCCTAAATTTAACAATCTTGTGATTTTTATTCAATCAAATAGCATAATCAAAAGCAATATAAAATTAAATTTTTACTTTTACTGTGATAAAAAAGTTTTATAAATGGTGCTTAAATTTTATTTAATATACAATATTATAATGTAAATTTTTTTTTTATATATTGCCAAACATAGAAACTTTATTAGTCATGATTCACACCTTTTTACAGAGCAATTAATATACAGTTTCTAATT